CATCCTGATTAAATTATTCTTAACTTTTATCACAAAACTTAGACTTGACAATTTTAATTTCGTTCAGTACAGCTTTCCAGACCGTAAATGAACACAGCAGTGATCAAATGTAAACAATGTGGGAGAAAAAACATGCTGCAGAAAAAAAAAGCATTGATATGGAAGTTCAGAGCAATAAATATATATGGTCCAAATCTGCAGTATTTTTGGTTTGGTGTTATCAGTGTGATGCAGAGTTTGGAAAATGATTAAGAGAATCTCTGCACCAACTCGTTTTATGTTGTAACAAAGCAGGTTACCCTGATAGACAGGTCACATTAGTAAGGGAGAGGAGAAATAGAAAAAACAACTTAGCCTACATGCCTCACATTTAATGAGCTTTAGGAAAGGAAATTTCCAGTTGTCAAAACTTCCAAGCTTATCTGGCCAAATGGGAATTTCAGTGAAATGTTAAAAAGAACTGAAATAAAACAAAAACTAGGACATCAGCCAAATAGAAGTGAGGGTAGAAATTTATAGGAGATAAAATATCCCCATCTATTTGATATTTTGTATTTAAATCTATTTTTCTTTTCTCTTTCAAGAGCTTCAAATGGTTAATCAAAGATGTAGCAGGAAGGTTTGCTCAGCAAGCTTAGATATGTTTGAATCAGGTGATGATTTTACTTTTTTTCTTAGGTTTAGGAAGCAAACTGGTTTTGTTTGTAATCTGGATAGTTAGATAAGTCGAGAGGAGAGGAGCTACAAGAAGGGATAGAGCAAGTTGTAAACTTAGGAAACTTTGGTCCTTCAGTGTTTTGCAGCAAGATCCAGATCTTCTATAGGTCTGTTTAGGAGAGTTTGATCTATCTTTCTTCATCATCTGCTGGTGCAACAGCATCAAAGACAATAGAAAAAGCTCAATGAGCTGATAAGGAAGGCTGGTTCTGTTAATAATTTAAATAAGGAAAAAAATTAAAGAAGAAGTCTTTATAAAATAAAGAACATTATGGACAACAGTGAGCATTCTCTTTAGAAAACTGTTAAACAACAAACAGTGTATCTTAAGTATTGTAACACCGTACAGCTAATTATGAATGATTGATTTGTTGGAGTTGGGAATGAACAAGGCCAATCATATATGATAATTGGTATGTAAAGTATGAACCATAAAACATCAAATCAAAATCATAAAAGAGCTCAGATTGTTCATTCACTGGGTATGGATATTCTGAAATCAGATTTTTGAAATTCTGAAATCGGATTTTTTAAGAGGATGTTAGAGTTATCCTTATTGATGATGAGTGAGTCTGTTATACCCTAATATTATCTGCCTGTTGTGTGTCAGAGCTAATGTTTTCCCAAATAGTTTATCTAATTATAAAAGTTTTTCTTTTAGGATAAAAAGTTATTTTCATTCTGCACGTGGCAAAGATATGGGAATAGAATGAGAGCAGTGTCCTTGATCTAAGAACAGAGTGTAATACTTTGATAAGGCTGGAGCCGTGGATGTCTCCTCATTTAGAAACATGGATGATGTAATGATTTGACGATGTAGCAGACTGGAATTGTATAAAATGCCTTTTTAACTGTGATTCGTGGACACTTCACGAGATGTGAGCCCAGTTAGTAAGCAGTAATCCTAAGCAATTTCTCTGATCTGAGTAAGATTACAATTTCTATCAAACTCTGTTGTCATGTCTCATGGTTATTTAATACACATACTTTATGAAGTTTTATTTAAAGAGTTTGCCCCAAGTGATCTCTTCTCAGGAAATGAACTAGAGAAAGAAAGCTTCAAGATGTAAACACAGAGCTTTCCATAAAAAGGACATAGCTCCCCCAGGTGGACATAACTGCACACTACAAGGCATATAAATGTAAGAGGAATTTACTGGAATTGGAAATAAACAGTTTTTGTCTGTATATTTTGATTATAGTCACAAAAAAAGAAAAAAAAAAAGAAAAGAGAAAGTCAAAGTAGGAGACCACAGGACAAGAAAAGTCTCTCATTATGGAGCTTTGAGGATATGGCATATTATTTTAAAAAGTAAAATAAACTTATGTCTGACAATTATGGAATAAGTTGCATAAACTGGGATGCTGCTTTAATTGATATGTGTCAAGCAACAGTAATAGCGTACTGATGTGTAATTAATGAGATATGAAAATAGTAGTTGTTTACATACATTTAAGAATGCATTCATAAAGGT